TTAAATCTCAGCAACCAGAATATCACCCCCACTGGTTGGTTCCAAAGACAACTTGGTACAGCCATTAGAAGCTCTGGCATGACTGAGCATGTACGCAGCGCCACTAGGTGGACTAAGGAAGGGAAGTCCTCAAACCTAGATTATCTGTTAACGAACGACCAGCTCCTGGTTGAGGATGTTAACATCCGCGCTCCAATAGGTAGTAGTGACCATGGCACAGTCCTGTTTAACATGGTCACAAACGAAATGCTGACACCGGACAATAACGAGCCTTACCTCTGCTACAGTAGGGCAAACTACACACGCATGAGAGAGGTGCTCCTACATGCCCCATGGCCACGGGAGTGGCGGAGGCTGACAGTAGATGATCACTGGCAAGCAGTGAGAGATATCATCCAAAACGCTGTCGTAGACAATGTACCTCAATCACACCCAAAACGCCAGAACAGAAGAACCTGGGTTAGGCGCGGCACGGAACGCTTGCTACAGGCGAAGAGGAAAGCCTGGCACAAGTGGAAGGTCTCTTTGAAGGATTCCGATCGCAGTTCTTACTTGGCATTGAGAAACAGATGCAATACCAAAGTTCGAAGCGACAGGAGACAATTCCAGACGATACTAGCCGCCAGAATAGAGGCAAACCCGAAACATCTGTTTAGGTTCATGTCCAAAAGAAAACCTACTAATCAAGGGTTGTGCCCCCTAAAAGGGCCTAACGGAGAAGACCTCACCAACCTAGAAATGGCCGAGATCTTCAACACCCATTTTTCTGATCAATTAAACCAGGCGCCTACATGTTCAGAGTATTACGCCAACCCAATGCCAGCTGACGGCTTAGGGAACATCCGTATCACCCCTGACCTAGTATCAAGGAAACTAAAATCCTTACGCCCAGGTAAGTCACCAGGTTGTGACAACATCCGCCCTATAGTCTTGCAACAGTGCGCTGAAGCCCTCTGTTCACCGTTATGCAACCTCTTCAGGCATTCACTGGAGTCACACCAATTCCCAGCGGAATGGAAACAAGCTACTCTCTCTCCAATCTTCAAAGGAGGAGATAGAAAGGACCCAGCCTGTTACAGACCAGTCGCACTACTACCTATATTATCAAAGGTTATGGAAGGGCTAGTGGACGAACAAATGAGGGAGTACATGGATAAGACTAAAATACTCCATGAAGCTCAACATGGGTTTCGGAAAGGCAGGTCGTGTGCATCTAATCTTCTCATCGCATGGGACAGTTGGACATCCTGCTTGGACCGTAAAATACCAGTGCACGTAGTATTTCTCGACTTCGCAAAAGCCTTTGACACAGTGCCCCACGCACGCCTAATCGAAAAGGTTGTGGAAATGGGCTTCACTGACCCGCTCGTATCTTGGCTCAGAAACTACCTTGAGAATAGAAAGTTTCGCACCAAGGTAAACAGGGTGCACGCGAGTTGGAGAGTTTCCACTTCAGGAGTTTCACAGGGGACCATCCTAGGCCCACTCCTCTTCCTGATATTCATTAACGACCTGCTAAGCTTAGTTAGCTCACCGGCACTGATCTACGCAGACGATGCGAAGATCTGGAGATCCATTAGAAGCGAAGAGGATTCGACTGAGCTTCAAAAGGACCTTACATCCATTGAGGAATGGGCAGTGAAAAACGGTTTAAAACTTAACCAACCGAAGTGCCACGTCATGCATTTCCTGCCTCATATGACGCAAACCACCTACTTTCTCAATGGAAGTCCGCTCCCTAATGTCTCCTCAGAGCGCGATCTTGGTTTAATAACCACAGAAAGCCTCCACACGAGTCCGAACTATGTAGGGGATGCAGCCAAGGCAAATGCGACTCTTCACTTTATGCGAAGACAGCTTGGTGCTATAACCCCGAAATTATTTTTAACCCTGTTTAAGACGTACGCGCGCCCACACTTGGAGGTTCACAACGTCATCGCACCCCCTATGCTTAAAAGAGACATTAATCTCTTGGATCGAGTGCAGAGACGAGCAACCAAATGGGTGATAGGGCTGAAAAATAAACCGTACGACGATAGACTCCAGCTCTTGGGATTATTCCCACTGAGCTACAGGAGAATCAGAGGTGACCTGATTATGGCGTACACCATATTAAACACGCCCAACCATCCCAATGTGAGCATCTTACCGATGCATCACCACCACTCCCCTCGAGGCAATCCTCAAAAGATTGCACATCAAAGAGCAAACACTCAGGTTCGTGCACACTTTTTCTCATTGCGAGTCGTCGCAACTTGGAATGCTCTCCCAGCCGAGGTAGTTACAGCCCCCTCAGTGGACTGCTTTAAGAAGAGACTTGATAATCACGTACTCACATGCGGACTATCATCTCCCTCTTGGACAAGCTGTGCCTGATGCATATCTTGAGACCTGCTAGTTGTTACCATTGCCATCTCCTCAGATCACTTAATTAATTTAACTCGCCTATTCCTCTCCCTTGCTTACACTTCGGTCCTCTCTCACAACCTTCACTACCAATTAATAAACTAAATTCATCTATATATTACTCAGTTCTGAAATTTTATTCATATTATCATTTTCATTTATGCTTATTACCCTTATTACTCAACACATTGCAACTAACTGATCTCCGGTTTGGTAAAGTGACGGCTGCTAGTATCCAGAAACCCTACTGCCCTGAAACAAACGTTTCATTCAAATCCCGAGACAGACAAACTCACAACCAACTGCCAAATGACTAGCATTAGACAGTCGAGTGGCTAGAACTCCATCCATTGGAGATTACCGAACACCTGGAACTGTACCGAAAGAACAAGAATCGAGCGGAAAGAAATCAAATTGGTTTACACTAGCTCGTGAAAAAGATATTGGATATTGGATACTTGATGTATTCGACACGTTCTCAGTTCAAGGTCGCACGACGTTATCAAAAATGTTTCTTACTCTGTGTGTATTTATTATTATATATGAAGCCTCAGTGAATTCATTGACTTTTGAATTGGAAGACGGGTCAACTCAATGTTATTATGAGACATTTTCTGTTGGCGATAATTTCACTTTAGACTTTCACGTATGTGATAAAACTTAAAGTACTTATCAAAATTAGGTAGTTTCCGGTGGGAATTACGACGTAGATATGTTGCTTACGGATCCTAACAAACAGGTTATTAAATCCCTCTACCGTTCATCGTCTGATGAAGTTGATGTCAATGTTGAAGTCGAAGGTATCTATAAAGTAAGTTGTTGTGAATCATTTGAACTAAGGTGTATGAACCTTAGTAAAAATTCTCTTTGAACAATATTTTCACATAACCTGGGACCGAATACAAAACCAGCGTGTTGTCACAAGTTATTCAGCGACTCCTCGTTCTTATTATAAGGTCTCATAAAGATAAAATAAGATTTTATAAGCAAAGAAATAGACAAGATTTATAAACTTAGAGGTTTGTAGTAGTAAAATTAACCAAAATCAATTGTATTAAGTCTTCGTAGAATAAAAAGTCTCCTTTAGTGACAAGTAATGCTACGACCCCAGCTTGATGGTAACAGTCTACTAAATAGGTTCTGACTAACTTAGCAGTTGTAATTTATTAGATTCCTCCATATTAAACCTCTGAGTCCGATGGCTTGAACGTGTACTACTAATGTCTTCCTGTCGAATTCCACATCGTTAAAATGCGCTAGTATTCATAATAAAAACCACTAATGGTCGTGCGGTAACTGTATCCAATTTTTCTCATGTATGTAAAAAGAGCTTGACCAACTGAAAGGATTGTTTCTGGGTTTATTTTCCTTACTATTATACTAATTTTATTCGTTATTTTTGTTGCGCTCACCTTTTTTTTCTCTATTTCTGTTCAACCTCATTATGTGGCGCATATATATTTCAGTTTTTACTTGTATCGGGATTCATGTTTTAAATAAATAAACTCTGATTCCTTTTTCACTAATAGACTTTGCTCCAGTAAATATCGTCATTTCCAGTCATCCACTCTTCATGTGTATTATTTCCTCTCAACATGCTGTGGTAATGATAACCAGAACAGTGTACCCTCTTGTCACAACATTTAGTGTCCTTTTTTTCTGACGGATGTATTCATAATTATTGGCTTCTAGTCAAGTTTATTCTCTTGGACCTCAATCATCGTGGATGTCATAGCTCCCATGAAGTTTCTGACTTTTAGCGTAACGTATGATGTTAAATACAGGCTATCTAACTCATACATGCTGAACAACCCCATTAACCGGTTGGAGACTGTGATAGCTACAGATAAATTCAATCTGTCTTCCTTAACCTCGGATCTCAGCATCCCTTTATACATACATTTTCACTTTATTTTTGAGCCATATTCTCAATGTTCGATTGTTCTCACTATTACTAGTACTACATTATTTTTACCTCGTGCTACTCATCTCGTTATTTGTTTGTGTGGTGTGATAACCTGCACCAATGCTCGTTGTTGTCAGGTTCTAAGTTGATGATGACTGTCGCAATAATAATTTTTCAATAGTAGATTTCTTTGGGTGATGATGCGCTTTTAATCACATCTTATTAACGTATAAAATAAAGTAGGTCGTTCTTAACAAGGAAGCTGTCCTTATAAATTCCTTAACGTGGCTCTTTTATTAATTGCTATGTAAAATTCTAAAGTGTTTCAGACTAACATTTATTTGAATGTTTATTTACAAAACTGACATGTTTCAAATAACGTAGGGCACTAACCTTGTACTCTTGATGAATTTTGGTAAGATTTAGTAGCTAAATGTATGGTTATCTCAGTGATCTAAAATTTTAGTTTATGAGGCAAGGATTTCTCATGAAGTTGACGACGATTAGTCTGATGAGAATGTTCATCATATCAAATCATGAAACCATCCAAAACCATGTTTTTTAAGAGACTATAGTATGGTGCCCGGCAAAAGTCCCCATATCCAAATTAGTACAACGAGATAAAATTAACAACATGAAAGCCGGAGTCAAAGTATTTGAATTAATAGTAATACAGAAACATGAATTACGTAATAGTCACTTAACAAAAATCATTAGGAGAATATTCAGTCCAAATTTTCAGTAAAAAGAATATTTGCACTGAATAATGTTCACTGTGCTCGTGAAATACCGAGTTGGGATAATTTAAAAACGGTCGGTCGTCATCATCATCAACTGCAACGTAGAACTTTGCACGTAAGTACATCAGTTCAGGTTGCCATCCCATAGTAGTAGAGGTAGTAAAAATATTAGAAGTAATCGGAGAGATTAGGGTTCGAAGATGTTTTCCAAAAAGTATAATTCAGTGAGGTAAATTTAGAATTAGAGAGATAGAGGTGATGAAGGGTTTTCATCAGCCTGCACCTAAGCTAACTCCGCTCTTCATCGCACTCAGAGTCAGACGGGTTGAGCTTTCGAGCATCCATCAGTTCCGTAGATGCTACTGAGATCCACGGCTTCTCCCTAACCTTATGGTTTACCTTATTAGAAGATATCACTGCTGTTTCCACAGCCTTTATGATATTGTTCCAAGCTGCCTCGAGGTGGGTACCAATTACTACATGGCTGCCTAACTGTTTTTCTAGTTGTTCCCGAAATATATTCTTAGCTTTGTTATCATTAAGTAGAACCCTAGCAAGTTTCCTTGCGATATTTTTCTTGCGTCCAGTGAGTCGCAAACAAATACGCACTCGCACTAGAGCATGGTCTTAGTCTAAACGAGTGCTCCAGAACGAGCGGCAGTCTTCAACCGAGCCTCTCCACCGATGGCTTATAGCCGTGTGATCTAGTTGGGTCCATCGTTGGGTCGGCTATGGGGTCGCCAGGTCTAGAGATGCCTTTCCGTATGCTTAAAGTTAGTGTTTGCTAGAAATAGGCGGTTATCTGAGCACAGTTGCAACAGACGTTCGCCATTATCTGTTCTATTAGCCGTGACACCAGTAAGATCCACCCAGGTGTCTTTCCTTTTCGCTGAGTCTACCTGCTTGGGAGTTAAAGTCACCAGCCATTATTACTATATCAGAGCGCTTAACATTCCGGAGAAGTTTAGGGGGGTTTCTATAAAACTTATCTTTTATATCGTCTGAACCGCAGTCAGTGGGAACGTAGGCAGATATGACAAAGGGGCAACGACGAGTGTCTCTATCCTTCCGAATCCACACTGTCCAGTTCAGTCGGACAGCGCATAAGCGACTGTCTTTCGGGATCCAGTCTATAAGAGCTAGTTCTGCCCTAGCACTTAATACTATACCTATGCAGGCGAGGCCACGAGAAGCGGCTTCAGGGCTTCCAGAAACACGGAACGTAAACCTTGTTGTGTCTCTGCACTAGGTGACAGCAAGTTGATGATTTTACTAGGATCCTGTGTGCGCGTTTCGGCGATGCAACATAAATCGATCGCACGAAATTCCAGAATTCTAGCTAATGAAGCCTTTTGCCCTATTTGGCATAGGGTTCGAAGATTAAAAGCTCCTATACGTAATTTAGTTCGGGGTTGCAAGAGACCAGGAATAATGTTTCGAGAGCTCGTACCGTTCGCTTGAGTGGCGTGAGGTGATAAACAGTCGATAGAAGTATTAGTCGAGGCGATAAGAGAGTTATTCGGAGGTGTAGAAAGGATTTGATTGTGACCAATTCGGTCTCATGTGCTTTTATGTGTATGAGGGCGGATGTTACTTCCCCGCTGCCCACAACGTGGAAGGGTGTTTCTTGAGGAACCTGAAAAGGAAGGTGGATTAGAGTTGGTCTTAGAGACCTGGGTGCGTGACCGCAGAGCACAAGGGACAACTGCTTGAGGCCGGTCACGCACGGCCTTTTTATGATAGGTTTTTTGAGTATTAGCTCCGCTCTTAAAAGCCCTTATTGGGCACCCTTACCGCCGGAGACGGAAATCCGTGAGGTAGGGTGAGGTGTGACATTTTTAGGGTCGACCTTTTCTAACCCTTCCTTCCTTGTGAGAAGGCAGCATCACTGGAGATGCTGGTTGTCCGAGAGAAACACCTTACTACTGTCACACCTCTCTGCAGTCAGCAGTCCGACTTCACCCTCAGACCTTGAGTAGCCGTTTTTAGTCTCATCGTTCTCAAATCGACCTGCTTGACATGGTAGAACCTACAGGAACATATGTTTCAGCCAATATAACTTGGTTGGGTCATCACGTTAGGCAAACCAGACTACCACGTCAAGGTAACAGCTACGGTCGGACGGTCGGTAACATAGCCTTCAAGTGCTCAGTGTTGTATATTTGCATAACTGTCTGTTCCAATATTGGTTTGTTTTCTTTTACCGCTTAGTGTTGCAAATCACTTCAAGAAAATAAACTTTCCCAAGTATTAAAATGCTTTCAAGGTGTGTCTGTCTAAATAGTAGCATCCATGAGACCCTTATGTTGGAAAGTGGAAGAATAACACAACTAGGGTTTAAATCTGCTCGTAGCTGTATTCAATGTCCATCTCTTTGTTGTTTTTGTGTTAATTTCTTACTCTTATTCGAACATGTAACATTTTCATTTCGGCAGCAAAATTCTATTGTTGTATTGCATTATTTACAGGTTTGTTTCAGTAATTATTTCTCTTCCGTGTCCCACAAAATTGTATCGTTGACATGGCGCAATTCCAGTCTCGATCCTTCAGAACGTGCAGCTGCTGTAAATAGCGAGACACAGGTTAATTCATAAAATTTGTTGCAAAAACTTTTGTGTTTTGATAAATGATCAACATTTTGAAACCATGAATCGATCAATGTTAAACCACCATTAGAAACCTGAAAGCACTGGACGGCCGTTTCGTCCTGGTATGGGAATCCTGCGGGGTGCAGGAGTCGTGGATGCGCACTGCCACTGTTGAGTCCCATACCAGGACGAAACGGTCGTCCAGTGCTTTCAGGTTTCTAATGGTGGTCTAACATTTATCGATTCATGGTTTCAAAAAATGTGTAACCTAACAATCTTCACAACAAACCCGTAATGAAATGATTAACAGCGAAATTAAAAATCATAAAGTTGATTAACTTTAATTACCGTGAACTAAGAGTCGCTTTCTATATTTTTTATGTTTTACTTGTTTGGAGGTTTCTAGGTTCAAATATTTAAATGTTTGACTAGAATAATTGATGTTACTACTTCAAGACACTGCTGTTGATATGTAAACCAACCAAGTAATTAGAATGTAATCATCATAAAACCAAAAATACTTGAAACATAATTGTCAGTCATGCAGTTTTAAATTTCATTATTCTCAGTCCTTGTACAAACTCTGGCTTTCTACAAGTTAAACACATTGGCTATTTATAATAGTTTTATCGCCATTCAGATCACACACTGTTAGATAACCATTAAAAACTAGGAAGTATTAGACAGTTGTCTGGTGCTATTGTGAGGCCTCTGAGTAAAACGACAAGCGCTTAACATATAAGCCATTGAACAAGCATTCATTGATTTACGTATTTAGCTTCAACCTATTAGTGATACTGAACAACCATCTTTCAAATATCGTTGATGAGTCACTGCCTCATATCTGCTACTGCTGGACATCATTAGTCGTGTCTACTCACTAGGACTTCGGTAAATTAACCACACATACCCTGGTATGGCCTAAGGTAGAACAGTCCGTTCCCTACTGCTAGAGAAGTTTTATTCACAGTCTTCTTGTTACGTGGTTGTTGTCCACAAAATTGAAAATGTTTGGCGCTGAAATCGGTTTTATGGCTACGAAGGATCTACCGAAGGTAGTTAGTTGGAAACCGTAGTTCCAAACTAATGGTGCAATTTGACTCCAAAATCTTGACAGAATAAATGGCCTAGGAGACTTTTCTTGGTCAGCATTTACGATATCGCTCCACTGAATTGTGTAAAGCTCACGAACTGGCCCCCTAAGAGAACAACTACCAGCTTCAGTTTGGCTGTCTGTATGAGCAGTATCTCAATCCACCCACAAATATTTCGGTCCCCCTTTGAATCAATAATTGTATGTTGAAGTAAACAAATATGCTTCACATTTTTTAGTGAAATACTGATCCAAAAATTTAATAGTTCCTTTCTCATTTTCCGCTTTTTTTTTGTACTAAATGTTTTCTAAATTATAGATTTCAGAAAGTCTATATAATCTACATTCAGCAATTTCCAAAGCAATAGGTCAACAGTTTGAAAGTCGCATACTTTTAAAACGATCTTATTCAAGTGCAGCGTTTCTTCATAATCGTGTCCTTTATTGGTCATTAGGCCAAACACTAGTTATTATTATATTTGGTATTGGTCAAGTCTTAGTTATGCGATCATTCTTCTCATCTCCATCATCATCAGCATATCAACGACCGGCGAAATCAATTCCCATGCCTACTGCTCCATTGCATACAGTTGGCTTTTAATTTAATTTCTTTACTGGTCGCTGATAATAAAATAAAGTGCTTTGTTCTGTGTGTTATTTTGGAACATGTTCATGTGATGTGATATATGTATGTATAACAATATAATTTTCTTTTTTTTGTAATCAAAATTTGTGAAACCGATATTTTTACATTTTGGTGTATTTTCTTTTGTTTTGTTTCCTTTTACTTTTTTTTCAATACTACTTGCTTGTGTGTTTTTAATGAATTTTCAATATGATGATTTTATAATGTTTTTATTATTTTTAAAAGAAAAATAATTTGTGGCTATTGTGATATACCCAAGATTGTACTTGATCGTTTCAAAGAAATTGTGCACGCACTGGATCGGAAGTTAATTAATTACAATAAAATATTTTTTATTAATTTTTTGATGATGTTCTAATTGACATTTCACATGAATTAATGCAAGTCACCTGTTCAGAGTAACCGAGACAAATTAATACAAGTTTAAATAGTAAAAAGGAGACAAAGCTAACACCGTTGGATACCGGCTCAGTGGTCTAACGGTTAGGGCGTTCGCACACAATACCGAAGGTCCTGGGTTCGAATCCTGCGGGGTGCAGGAGTCGTGGATGCGCATTGCTGAGGAGTCCCATACCAGGACGAAACGGCCGTCCAGTGCTTGTGGGTTTCTAATGGTGGTCTAACATTGATCATAAAATGTATGACTTAACAATCTTCACAACCCCGTAATGCAGATTACGATTTTCATTGAAATTAGCGTGTACTGATTGCTATTGCTAATTTAATTTGTGGATTTTCCAGTTCTATGCGATTAAGTGTTTTTGTGTAGCTTGTTCTTTGACACTAGTGGAAATTTCCGGAGAGAACTCTTCAATATATTGGATGTAAACGGTATCTTCCAGCTAGATCGTTTCGTAGTGTTGGGTGTTTTCAAAATACGTTGTCATTCTTTTGTGTCGGTAGGGTAAAACCACACTATCAATCCCCAAGGATTGTGTTATTATAGTTGTTAATTATAGATAGGTAATTTTGTTTTAATAAGCTTTTCATGATATTCATATAGGAAAATTATTAAGCCGTAACATATTTGGGATATTATCTTTTTCCTTCAGCTAATCTTCTGTAGTAATGACCTTAATCAACCTTTTGACGAGAATCACGGCTAGGCGAATTTTCGCTCTGAATAGATGTACGCAGTTAATGTGCCGATTAAAATATGTTGGTTTTTGGCAAATAACCGACTACTACTGTGGTGCGAGCTACTTATAAGTAGTATATGATGTGAGTGTCAACGTAATGTCTGGCAGCAGAAGATGGGGGAAGATCAAGAAAGGAAGAGTTAGAAAACAATGGAATTTGTATGAAACGCATGAATAGTGACAATGGATTGATGTTTTGCAACAGGAACAGTCCAGTTCGATAGGATGAACTGATATTTTGCAAATGAACGATTTACGATATGGTTTTCCTATGTTACTGAGTAACTCTGTAATTTTCGTTAAATACAATTCGGTTGCCTCCACCTGTGTTTTCCTTCACTACACTACTACTACTAATACAGGCGTGATTGAATTTTAATCATATATCCGAACTGTCTATATATGACTGCATGTGTGTACGAGATATATGTGCTCTAATTTCTCTAGTGAATAAATTAACTGGAAGGAATACAATTTATAAGGTTCAATATCCTGAAGGTTTATGAAATATGTATTCAAATCTAGTTTTCTGTAATACCTAGTCCGTTTTCTAAATAAAATGGTTGGTTGCAATTAAGGTGTAAAATAAGCAGCTTTCGGCACCTGAAGAAAATTGTTTCCAAGTACATCCTCATGCAAAGACTTCACATATGATAGCCAGTTAGTTACAGTATGGAGCGTGGTAAGTACGTGTGTGGTGCGTGCTACTTATACGAAAGATATAAGTAGTATAAGAATGGACGTGAAAGAAGAACTCTCACGGTCACTAGAGGAAAACGGAAAGCAAATGGAGCAAAAGGAAGAAGGAAATAGAGTACCGACAGGAAGTAAAGGAAGCAACAGCAGGAATGGAAGAAGGCTGGAGCGTTGGAAGTCAGGACTCAAGGATGGTGTTCAAATAGAGTGCTCAATGTAATGTTTTCGTTTTTAATTGACTAAGAGTGTAAATTTGCCAAACACAATCTATCGAGTCTGCCTCAGTCTTCTCGCGTGCATCAGTTCAAGATGCTATACTTCATTAGCACAGAGGGATCAAATTTTTGATTCAAAACCCATAGTAATGGAGAAAGTAGGAGTGTTAGCAGTAGTGGAAAAGATTAGGGTTCGAAGATATGTTTGGACAAGTATAATAGAGTATAATATATTTTAAGAGAAAAAAAGGGTCATGAAGAATTCAGAAGATTGGAATTTAAGAGTGGATGCGTCTGCGTCATTGCAAACGATTTTGAGTCATTTCAATCAAGGTCTCTAACCGTCGGTTACTGTTGTCTCGCGGATCCCAACTAGGTAGTCTACACGTATTAACATGATTCAGTCCAGTTGTCAGTGACTTCATTGGTTCGGCTGACCCTAGCTTTCTTTCAGCCTACCCATACATTATTAAACATAACTCGTCGAGGCAGTCGGTGGTCAGGCATACGTAACACATCCCCCAAATGCCTCACCTGATCAAGATTCACTACTTCACCAATTGATCTGCAATCTTTACCTAGGACCTGTTTAACATCAACGGAATTGCTTACTCGATGGTCCTAGCAAGTACGAGCAGTGCTTCGAAGGCACCTGTGATCGAATACTAGTAACTTATGAATGTCCTCAATTCTTACTGGCCATGTTTCACACTAGTAAAGTAGGATGAAGCGAACTGCTGCACAGTAAACTTCTTTGGTCAAGAGACGGATATCTCGCCTACGCCATAAGTGACGAAAGTTGGCAAAAGCGGGTCGAGCTCTCAGCATCCGTGCTGAGATTCGTCACACGCTAGGCCACCAGTTCTGATCAGACTCTCAAGTTAAGTGAAGCCATCGACACGCTCAACTACTTCACTCCCTATCACTAGTTCAGGTTACGATACAAGCAAATCCTGAGGCAACATTTTGACAAGGAAAATCGCATCCGGAACATACGTGAATTGTTGCTTAAGGTGTTTAGAAGACTGTATTTTGTCAGCGTTTTCACCAAATAGAACTATGTCGTCGGCATATTCTAAGACGAGAAGTGAATCTGGTAGAAGTTCAATTTCTGAAGGATCATGCGAAGGAAATGTTATCTCCAAAAGCATGTCAATGACAAAGTTGAAAAAAGTGGCGAAAGATGACAGTTTTGAAAAATACCGCTCGAAGCAGTCACTTCAGATGACAGTTCACCGTAAGCTCTGACTCGGCTAGCTGTGTTCAAGTGCAGAACATGTATAAAGTTAATGTACTTCATTCGTAAACACTTCAATGACACACGGTGCCACAGAACCTCACAATCATGGGAGACAGGAACCGTCGAAATACCATCATTGTGGGACATTTGAACGTATGTCCCAACCGTAGCTATTACCTTGATGTGTTGGTCCGGTTTGCCTATCGTGATGTTCCAACCGAGCTATATTGGCTGTAACATGTGTTCCTGAAGGTTCTGCCATGCCAGGCAGGTCGATTGCAGAACGATGAGACTACTCAAAGTCTGAGGGCGAAGTCGTACTGCCGACTGCAGGGGGGTTTCACAGCAGTAAGGTGTTTCCCTCAGACAACCAGCATCTGTAGCGATTCTGCCTTCTGACAAGGAAGGAAGGGTTAAAAAAGGTCGACCCTAAAAAGGGCTTTTAAGAGCGGAGCTAATACTCAAAAAAACTCTCATAAAAAGGCCGTGCGTGACCGGCCTCAAGCAGTTGTCCCTTGGGTTCTGCGGTCACGCACCCAGGTCTCTAAGACCAACTCTAATCCACCTTCCTTTTCAGGTTCCTCAAGAAACAACCTTTCACGGTGTGGGCGGCGGGGAAGTAACATCCGCCCTCATACCCGTAACAGCACACGAAATCAAATTGGTCACAATCAAATCCTTCACTGCAGATGCTGTTTGTCCGATGGAAAAACCTTACTGT